TAGTGAGTTAGCATCGCACGACTCATAATCTGTACTTGGTGTCTCTGCAAGGTCTGTGTTGAGGAGGATAGTGTATTATAGACCTCCAGTACAGTCGCAGTAATCCACCTGGGAATGGAAGTCGGGGAAACCGGCTTATCTCGCTTGCCAGGGCCGTAACACAAAACCATGTGTTTGGTTCCCCGTCTAGAAAACCTGGTACGGTTCTCGTAGCAACCCAGCGCTTGGACCGGGCAGAGAAGCAATTCCTCCTGATCCTCCGGACTGACAATATTTGCCAGCCGGGGGATGACGATCGGTTGAGGATCGTGTCCTGGGATTTGGTTCTTAGCGAGAACCCGATTTGTGTCTTAGTACAACTTGATCGTCCATAAAAGCGGCACAACCGTCCGCAAAGGATAGTGCGCACCTAGCTTTGGCCGGCGCCTACCTGAGGCGAGGGCCAGTAGGAAGACTATTTTCCACATCAAAAATTTGAGTGGTGCTGATAGGAGAGGCTCAAAAGGCAGTCTGCTTAGAGCAGACAACACAGCCGACGAGTCCCAGTTGGGCGGCTCCCTTGTATGGGGTCTTTGCATCTGGAAAGCAGTAAATAGTCTCCTAAAAATAGGACAATCGGCTAGTCTTGTTCCCGTACGTTCTGAGTGGTGGGGGACAAGACCGACCTGTAGCCAACGCTCGCTGCGTAGAACAAACCCACTTCGTGGACGAAGGAGCCTGCTACCTAGCCAATAGAGGGATGGTATGGATCAATCTCCCTTCCGCTACACCAATCAGTGTATGCTTGCAGCCTAGAAATGTAGGCCGCGTAGGTGGAATCCCTGTTCGACCTGGCCAGGATGTTGGCAGCCCGCTCAGATAAGGCTTTCATATGTGCGGGTCTACTGAGACCCTCTATGCATGTAAGTGATACCTGCTGGGCTCGTTGGTAGTGCGCCGTCTGGTTGGGACGGCAGGTCCGGTAAGTCCGGAAGCACTGCTGGCGCTTCGACTAGCCTTCCCAACAGAAGTGGAAACTAGGCCTTGCTTGGCCAATTGGGTGCAACCCATGATAATATGTGGGTGTGCACCTGTCGAAGCTTTTCTCCGGTGCCTGGTGAACTAGCGGGAAGGGAGGAAAGGCATACACAACTAAGTGGGTCCACGGGGCTAGCAAAGTGACCCTGGCCCAGGCTCCTGGAGTCAGCAGGAGTGTTACGTACGTCGGGAGCTTGGCGTTCCGGGGTGCGGCAAAACGGTCCAACCTTTGACTGTCCCACGGCTGAAATAGCCTAGAGGCTACCCACTGGACTATCAGCTACTCCGTGTTCTGGAGACGGAGCCGCTCTGAAAGGGCGTCGCCAGACTGTTCCTCACCCCTGGAAGTGGTGTGCGGTTAGCTCCACATTGTATTCCAGGCACCAAAGGAGGATTTTGCTGCTGATTTTGCTGTTCCCCCTCCTTCTTGAAGGAGACCACCGCTGCATTGCCTGTGCGGAGCAGGACTCTGTGGTCTCGAACTACGGGTAGAAAACGTGGTAGTGCTAAGTACACTGCTCTCAGTTCGAGCCGGTTGATATGGTAGTCCCGAAACTAATGCGGGGGCCATATCCTTGGGCTTATTGGCCCAATAGATGCGCTCCCCAACCCTAGGGGGAGGTATCTGTTACCAGAGTCATACCTGCGGCGAGCGGGCCCAAGGGGCTCCCCTGTCCGATGTTGGCCAGTGACGACCACCAGGGCAGGGCTTCCTTCACTTGGTCCGAGATCGAAACCCGCCTATCTAGTTCCCATAGGAGAGCTCGGCGCTATAACAAGCGTTATACCGGGCGGCTGCGTAGTGCGGCCTGGGGAACAACCCTTTGAACCGAGGTCATCATTTCGATGATCAGTGTTAGTTCGCGGAGGGACACAGAGGGAACACTGACTAGGCATTCGGCTAGGCTGCCTAGCGCTAAGCAATACGCCTGAAATAGCTAAGCCAAGCATACCTCTGTGTCAAAACTCCATGCCCAGGGACACCAACTGCACATTGGGTTGAGGTGGGACTTGTCGATTTACCAATGAGCCCAACTGGTGAAGTAAATCCTGTGTTAGCCTGACACGTTTGGCTATTACCCCTTGCCCGGGTTGTTGGTAACCGGAAGTCTGGGTACGGATGA